CAATGTGGAGCTTGCACTCACAACCCTGAATTCAAGAGTTGCATGCTCTACCGACTGAGCCAGCCAGGCGCCCCTTCATTCTTTTTCTTAAAGAGGCCCTCAGATAAGCTTCAGGCTCCACAATCCTGGATCCACAGGGGTTCTCCATTTTCCCAGTTGCAAAGAGAGCCAAGGCTGTGGAAGGTCTCCGTAGGAGTAAAGATGATCTCCCTGAGTCCTCCTGAAGGCACCGAAAATTGAGGAGCAAAGAGGAGAGACTTGTCTAGGGTCTCACGATCCAGGAGAGTCCCACCTGAGCGCCCCCCGTTTCCAGACCCCTCTACTGACCCCGTGCCACCCAGAGCGGCCACCCTCTCAGGAGACCCGGAGAGCGGGGCTCTGTGCCTCTGCCCCAGTGGCTCTAGGACCACGAGGTGGCAGCAGACACCGTGTTTCCTTCTCCCCGGAGCTCGTTCCACCACAGCTCCCCGGCCCCACAGAGCCAGAATTTCAGCAGGTTCCAAACGCCTCCTTCAGCTCTTTCCTGCCATCTCAGGAAACAGGGAGTCCTGGCCTGGCCACTTACTGGCTGTGTGCTCGTGAGCGAACACTTCACTTCTCGAAGCTTCGTTTCACTCAACCATATACTAGGGATATCTCGTGGGAACAGGTTAGTGAAGCACCTGGCAGATACATAAGCTAATCATCAGCAACCGCTGCTGGTTCAATAGGGGCTTCCGGAGCTGGAGGCTTCCCTGAGAGGGAGTTCTCCCGGTGGGAGTGGCCCCCTCCCCACACTCGAGCAAACCCAGAGGAACTCCTAGGCAGCAGGGCCTTCCAGAGCCCTTACATGTTCATTGGTGGGGCACCCTCTGCGTCCATGCCTGGGTCCCTCCCCGGACCGGGGCATCTGACTTGGCTTTTCCATCATCCTTCTCTTGGAGGGAGCTCTGCAGCCTCGTGTCCACCTCGACGTCATCCTGGGGATCTGTCCCAGGCTTCAGATGGGTTGTCCTGGGCTGGGGGCGGGGGTCCTTGAACCAATGCCTGTCAATTCTCTCTCTCCTCTCAGCTCTTCCCAAAGGACTGCGGCACCCAGCCAGGACATGGCTGTCTTTACCTCAGAGACCTCCTGGCTATCCCCAAGTCTGCTACCCACCCACCCCCCCCATCTAAACGTGGCATTCACTCTGGGCCAAATACACCAAACCAGCTTTTGTTCCCAGTACACTTCACCATCCAGGCCCTTATGCAGTTTGTTCCTCCACCTGGAACACCCTTGTCCATTTCCATATAGTGAACTCATCCTTAAAAATCTAGCTGGTGGGCCCCCTCCTCCAGGCAGCCTTCCCTAATCCCCCAGTTGGGACCCCTTCTCCTCTCCGGGCTCCGGTATATTGTTTCTTTTAGGCCTTTCCCATAGGAGGCCATGAATCACAACAGGACAGTCCATTATGTTTGGAGAGCAACTCTGTTTACAAATGGCTTCCCCTTTTAGTGTCTTGGAGCTGGGCAAGGCAGCAGGGTTGCGCCATTACCTCATTTGACTGACACGGAAACAGGCGAGGAGAGAAATATGACTGGCCAGGTCCCACACCCTCCCTCACTCGGTGGAGTCAGGACTGAAAGCTGCAACAGATCCCAGCCACACCCCCTGCCTCAAGCCTGAGCTTGCCGGTCTCCACCATTCCTTGTGCCCTGGTCTTGTGACTCTCTTCCCCTTTTAGACAGAGCAGGGTATTGGCCTGTTTTTAATAAGGTGCTCAGTAAAATTGTGTTGAAGTAACAGATGCTCCCATATTGGCCCTGGCCCCTCGCCCTAGCCCCTAGCCCATGCCCTGGCCTCTTTATCACCCAACTCAAGACCCAATCACCCAATCCAAGCTGGTGGCCCTGCTCAGGCACTGGCAGGATAAGGAGTTGGCTGGAGGCCCAGGAAACTCAGAGGAGGAGGGGGGACACAAACAGGTTCCTTCCCCTGCCCCAGAAGCTTATCAGCGCCCCACAGGCTCCAGGCAAACTGGGTGCTCAGCTTAGGGAAGAGATCTGCCCTCGGCTTGTCACCTTCACGCCCTCCATTGCTCTTCAACTGGATGACCTTGGGTTGTCACTTCCAACTCTCTCAAGTCTCAGACCCTTTTTAGAACACTCTTGGCCGTAAGGATTCAGCGAGATCAAATGGGAGAATAAAATAACTGCAATCAGTAAATGGGAGTGGTCTCCTCTGGAGGTCTCCCCCACAGGGAGCAGCTCAGGGAACTGCTCCCTACAGTCTGGGAAGGGAGGGGACGCTTCACAGGCAGAGGTACTGGGGCAGGGGGACCCTGAAGTCCAGGCAGTGACAGCACCCCGACCCCCTTCTCCCCCCACCCCCCGCCCCGTGACCGACAAGGCCACGTTGACCCATACAAGTGCAGAAGTCACCTCAACAAGAAACAGAGAGACTGCCTAAGCAGAGAGGCCCCTGGAGCAGGGCAGAGCTCTCTAGGTCTCCAGGGCCTGGGGATGGGGGGCGGGGGCGGGCGTGGGCAGAGGGAGGGGAGGACGGCGACATGTTTATAAGACACAAAGAGAGAGGGTCACAGAGTCACACCCTTTATGCAAACTCACCAACAGGGACACACCGTGACACAGATGCAACCCCCGACCCCCCCACACACATACAAATACACAGAGCCACACAAAAAATCAAGATCACAAACACAACCCCACATGTACTCCCCACGCACAAACTCGGAAACGCAGAGCCCTCCCCGGCCACCCCAACACACACATTCCCCGGCACACACACACACTTATCAGGCCGGGGCACGCGCTGGCGCTGCTGAGTCACCCGCACGGCAGCTCGGCCCTGGGAGCCGGAGCCGCAAGCCCGCCCGGGGCGGGGAGGGGCGGGGCCTGCGGCCCGGCTGCGCCGGAGCCTCGGGCGGCTCTGCGGGCATTCTCCTCGCCCCGCCCCCTGGGCGGAGGCGGAGCTTCAGAGCGCCGGGAGCGAGAGAGAGGAAACCCCTTTGCAGTGACTGAATCTAGGCATTCACAGCCTGCTCTCTCCTGGGTTGCTGGAATACATGTGGGAGCAATTAAAAAATAATACTGGATGCATTACTGGGTATTTGCATATGTATTTTCATTCTCTCATTTAATTTTTGCAACAGCTCTATATAAAGTTTGGGCTGTTGTTAATCCCATTTTACCCCCCCCCCCGAGGGAAAATGACTTGCCCAAAGGCACAAAGTGGTAAAACGCAGGGCCCAGACTCAACTGCTTCCAAAGCCTGAGAACGTAAGCCACTGGGCATTATTACCTGGTGGGCAGGTGAAACTAAGCAGGTGAAAGGTGTGTCAATATGCTTGGGAGCCTGCATGTGTGTGTCAGCTTTCCCCATGCGTTCTACAGGGCTAGGGACTGAAGGGTCTCAAGTGTCTCGATTTCTGGTTAAAGGAACTAAAGCTTCTTCCATGCTTTGGAGCCCACCCACCTATATCAGAAAGCATCCCCTAGATCTAGGGGCTCAGGCAGACCCTCTGCTAGACTGAGTTTCTTGAAGGCAGGGACCAGGGCCCTGAAGCCTAAAACAAGACCTGACTTGGAGGCTGCAGTGAATTTGGTGGGGGCAATACATTAATTTATGACCTTGATATAATATTAACATCAATAATCATAATAAGTGCTAGCAATTTTTGGAGGCTTAGGAGACTGGCACTGTTCTTAATACATGTCCTTTACATGGATCATTTCATTTAATTCTCACAACAATCCTAGAGGAAAGTACTTAAAAAAAGAGAGAGATTTATTTATTTCAGAGAGCGAGAGAGAGAGCGTGCAGTGCGCCAGCGTGAGCAGGGGGAGGGGCAGAGGGCAAGGGAGAGAATCTCAAGCAGACTCCCCTGCATCCGGGAGCCCCACACAGGGCTCCACGCGGGCCTCAAACCCACGACTCTGCAGCACCCAAGAGTCAGACACTGAACCGACTGAACCACCCAGGCGCCACGAGTAAAGTACTTTTATTAACTCCATTTTACAGTGGAGGAAACAGGCTTGGAAAGGGTTAGTAGCTTGTTCAAATCAAGGGCAGCGCTAGGGATTGAGACCTACGCAGTTTGATTCCAGGGCCCATCTAATAGGAAGACCACTGAACTCCCAGGAAGTCACTTGCCTTTACTGGGCCTCAGTTTCCCCCACTTGCCCAAAAATGAGGTAGCAAGGGGAGGGGACTTGGACCAGTGACTATGTAAGCCCCTTCCGGTGCTGATGGACCCTAAGGAGGGGGAAAGTCTCTGACAAGAGTGGCAAGATAGGGATGAGAGGAACATGAACCATATTTACTGAACACCACCTATTATGTGCCAAACCTGTGCAGTGAGACAGACACACTCAAATGAGGTAATAAGTGTGCAGTGACCAGAATGACACCTGGTCCCGGAGTAGGCCAGTGAGGGCGTTTTAAGAAGGGAACGGAGTGAGGAGGCCCTGAGGTTTCCTCTGTATATTAGGAGTCAGACACTTAACCATATATCACTAATTCTCCGAAAAGTATTGTAAGATTTATAGTTGAGGAAACTCAGATTCAGAGAAGTGACTTGCTCAAGGTCACAAAGAACTAAATGGGGGGACAGGTGATCTAGGTGAGTCTCACCAGGGTCACTTCCCTAGATTCCCTAGGATCAACTCCCTTCCTACCACCCTTCCAGCCCTTAGGCTAGGGGCAGCACCACGTGGCAAATTGCATCATACTTTTGCCGTATGACGTCAGACACCACACCACCCAATCCAGGAGCTCCCTACCCAATCCTCCCCTGACCCTCGGGTCAACACGGGGCAGCTCGTCCGCGTCAGACCGCACCTGCAGCCCCAACCCTTTCCCGGTTGCGACGCTCGCACTTCTCGGCACCGTCTCTTCACCGCCCCGCCGATTGGCAGTTGCCTGCGCCAATCAGGAGGTCTGCCGGGTCGGGGGCGGGGCCTCACTCCCGAGTTGCCCTGTCAGTGCAGGTGGAGGCCCCCGGCGGGGCAAAGTGGCAGGAACCTCTTAAAGGGCGAGAGCGGCGGAGAGCGAGAACGCGGCCCGGCCCGGCCCGGCCAGGTCCCCGCCCCGTCCGGCCCAGGTGAGCCTGGACTGTCCAGGGGCGATCCCGGGTCCCCGGGAGGGACGGGGTGAGGGACAGATGGACCCACCCCCAAGGGCCCGTGCCGTCCCGGTAGGGGCGAGGCCACGGTCTAAGGGTCAGGGGAGGAGGGCTCTCGGGGTCCCGGCCCCAGAACTGGGGTCCACAGGGGCCTGGACGTCTCGAAGTTTAGGGTGCGGGGAGGGGCGCGGGCGAGAGGAGAGGGGTCCGGGAGCTCGGTCCGGGGCTGGACGCCTGCGGTTGGCGGTCCCGCGCGGTCCCGGCCTGCCTGGGGCGGGGGGTCCCGGGTAAGGTCTCCGCGGGCGGGTCTCTGCAGAGTGCTGCGGCCCCAGGTACCCCCCCCCCACCCCAGCCCCGCCCTGTCCGGCCCGCTTGCTCCTGCCCGGCCCGCCGCAGCGCTGGCCGGAGCGGGAGGGCGGGCGGCGCTCAGCGGGAGGGGGGCCCCCCGGGCCTAGAACCCCGCTCCTGGCCCCGGCCCTTACGTAACTGACTTTGAGTTTCCGGACTGAGGGACCTGTGAGCTGGGGTGCCAGCTGTGCCAGCCAGGATGGCCCTCCTGTCGCCGCCCCGGCCCCGCACGCTCCCTTCCAGGCTTGGTCTCGGGGACTTTCCTCGGTCTCTGGTCTCCCCAGGCTCTCTGTCGCTCTCAGGTTCCTGCTTGCTCTCATCCCCCCCGATTCCCCGTGTCCCTCATCTCTCCTCTCTCTGCTGTCCTGTCCCTATCCCCAGTCTTACCCCGCGAGTTTCTCGTCTTAACGTACACTTTCCGGCAGACCCCACCTCTTTTGGGTAGAGCTAGAGTTCTCCCCTCCAGCAAATTGGAGGTGGGGACTTGCAGACAGACCCCAGCCCAAGCTTGCCCCAGAAGCGGGGAGGGTAGGACTGTTCCTGTAGGGTTGGTGGTGGTGGTTGGGGGGTGGGGGTATTTCAAGGCCCACAGCTTCCCTGGGGTGGGAGTGGCTGAATGTGACCCCTCACGTTCACGGACTAGGGCTGAAGGCAGCCCCTTCCCTGCTTCTGGAGCCCTTTTCTCCCGAAGGAGGCGGCAATGCCTGGCCAGGCCTGGTGCTCAGGGCAGCTGGGAGTCCCTGTGAGAGCTGCCTGGTGTCAGGTCTGGGTCAGATCCTCAGCTACTGAAGGGGAGAGGGAGGGCCAGAGCACTGGCACAGAGCCCCTGAGGTTTCAGCAAGCTCCCTACCTTCACCCCAGTTACAGGCCTGGGCAGGAGGCTGGGAGTGGGGAGGGTCAACAGGAGGGGGTCAGAGGACTTTTGCCTGGGGGTAGGGGAAGCGTGGAGATAGAGGTGACAGACTGTCAGGTCTGAGGAGCATGTACTGGGGTCACCCCCTGCCTTCAGTGAGGCAGACACCTCAGAAATAACTCCTGGACCCTGCTGCTGCTGGGTGTGTGTAAACAAGCTGTTATATAGCAGCCATGAGGTGGGAAAGATTAATTCTGACTGGGATTGTGGCAGGAGAGACTTTGCAGAGAAGGGTGGAAGGTTTGGGAAGAAGGGGATCCAGAAGCTTTAGGGAGCAGAGAGGTGGGAGGAAAGGGGACATCAGGTGCCCTGCAGGCTTTGCATGCAGCAGAACTGGGTTTAAATCTTGGCCCTGCCACTTTGCTGTGTGACCTTGCATGAGTCACTTCCCCTCTCTGAGTCCCAGGTTCTTCCTTAGTCAATAATCCAGACCTCACAGGCATTAGCACAATCAAATGAGGTAATAAGTGTGCAGTGACCAGAATGACACCTGGTCCCGGAGTAGGCCAGTGAGGGTGTTTTAAGAAGGGAACGGAGTGAGGAGGCCCTGAGGTTTCCTCTGTATATTAGGAGTCAGGCCGGGCCTGCCAGGTCCCAGCAATGTGTGAGGCAGCTGGAGCATCTGCATGAGGGGGTGATGCTCAGTGAGGTAAAGAGGTGCCACACCCATCTGTCTCCGGATCAACCCATCCCTGCATGGCCTAGACTAGGCTGGCCTCCCTCCTGTAGGTTGCAGGTGCCAAAAGAAGCTCCCAGGGCTCCCAGGCTGCTGCACCTGCTAGACTGGTGGGGGTGGGTGGGGTTCCTGGTAGGGCAGGGCCGGCACCCCCTCTGCAGAGTGGACCCTGGCCAGGAGCCTGGCTGGCTGTGCTGGGCAGGAATATCCCAGCCTGGCTGGGAAGATGCTGACGCTGTATAGGCTCTGGAGGCCCAGAGCTCTGCTGCCTGGGGTTGTGCCCAGCTGATGGGACCCAACTGCAGGGTGAGACAGAGGCCAGGGTGGCAGTGAGGAAGAGAGATGCAAGGAGACATCTCTGGAGGGGGAGCCTGAGCAGAGCTTCTCTGTAGAGCCAAAGAGGAACTGCATGGGTTTGTCCCTAAGCCCTGCCCAAGTACCACCTATAGGTCTGCTAGCCACAGAGCTAAACAGGATACCCACAAAGGGCTCCCCATAAAGAGCAGAGGGAGCAACCTGTAGGTCAGGGCCCTACTGGGGTTTCCCCAGAGGGCCAGCCCCTCCTGGCGTCTGCCCAGGTAAAAGAGCTGGTCATTGAAAGGCGACCTTGGCCCACATTTGGACCTCAGTTTCTCCATCTATAAAACACGGTTTTTAGTATAGTTGAGTGCAGACATTCCTTGGCCCATGGGTTTGTGGCTGAAGTTGGTAATGGGGTAAAAGGTGAGAGGGGGAGGGGCAGGGTAGCCATGGCTGAGCTTGTGGAAGAAGAGTTTGGGTCAGGAACAGCTCGGATCCTGGGCTGACCATTTGATAAGTATTTCAGATGAAAGGACTGGCATTGGAGAGGTTCAGAGTCTTGTCTGGGGCTGTGCAGCTCGTATTACAGACACCAGGGGAAAAAAAAACCAAGGGAAGGCCAGGAGAACAAAATCCAGGCAGATGCCTGTTGGAATCCTGGCTCCACCACTTAACTAGGCTTGGAGCTATGAAGGGACACACCCAAGCGCATGCAGAGAAGAGTCCCTTCACCTCACTGTCCTCATCTGTAAAATGGGAATAGTAAGAATTTTGCCTTTGTCCACTTCCTGGGTCACTGTGAAGGTCAAAGGAGATGAGATATTTGTAGCATTGGGTGAGAGTGCTATTTATTTTTCAGTCCAAAGTTGCAATTCTGGGTGCATGTTTTGGGGAGAGGGCATTTCTGACCTCCCCTCTGCTGAGAGGCTGTACCCGGGGACCTGCTGGAGAACAGCCCTAAAAATAGCACCACCGCTTACCAACTGGTTACCACGTGCCAGGCACCGGGCCCAGAGCTTCACTTCTATTGTCTCTTTTAATCCCTACCTTGTCAGGTAGGTGGTGGCCTGACCCACACTAGGTCCCTCCAAAACCCAGGCCTATAGCTCCCTGTAATGACAGTAGCTACCAGTTATGAACAGTTTACTGTGTGCCAAGCATTGTGCAAAATGTTTTCTACATATTAACTCACTTAATCCTCACAACAACCCTGGAGGTGGGCACTAATGCTATCCCCATTTTACAGATGACTCATTGAGGCACAGAGAAGTTAAGAAGATGGGCCCCATGTCACAAAGCTAGTGAGCGAGAGCCAGGGTTTGAACCCAGGTTCGTAAGCTTCCTCGTTGAGGCACTCATCACCGTTGTAACTCATTCAGGAGTCACACGCCTTCCCCCTCCCTGCACTGTATATTCCATGCGTGCAGAGGCCACGTCTGTCTTCTTCAGACTGTATCCCCAGTACCCTGCACACGGTGGGTGCTCAGTGAGTATTTGTCTACAGGGATCCCGCTGCCTCCCGTGGGCTGGGGCTGGGAGGAGCTCTGGGTATGCTATCAGATGATCAGATTGCCCACTAAGGGGGTGTCTGCCCTAGCAGAGCCCCGGGGGCAGCAGCTGGGCAGGATGTTCCCCTGGCCCAGGATGAAGAGGGGCCCCAAAGAGTGTCTTGCTTGTGTCTCACTGCTGTTCTTTGTTTCCGTGTGCCCCTGCGGTCATGGTGATGGCTCCCCGGCTTCTCCCGGCTTCTCCCCGACGGGCTGCACGACCCCACCGGCTGCTGCTGGGTGAGTCCTGGTTTGCCTAAAGACTACCTCTCGGGCTTGATTCTAACGTGTGTCCTGCAGCGCTGAGGCCACTGGGAGGTGTCCAGGAGCCTAGCGGTGGGGCAGGGGGAGGGGGACTGAGGGAGGGCATTCTGTGACGTTTGGATCCTACCACAACCAGCTGACTTCTCTCCAGATACTTAGCACACTGGGTGGTGATTTTTTTTTTTTTTAACGAATTTATTTATTTATTTGACAGAGAGAGACACAGCGAGAGAGGGAACACAAGCAGGGGGAGTGGGAGAGGGAGAAGCAGGCTCCCCGAGGAGCAGGGAGCCCGATGCCAGGCTGGATCCAAGGCAGACGCTTAAAGACTGAGCCACCCAGGCGCCCCGCGGGTGGTGATTTTTGAGACATGTGACCCAATGCAAAGGTGTTTGGGGCCAGACATGGTCAGGAATCTGCATTCTGCCCCTTGTAGCGGGGGGGCTCTTCACAGGTCCGTTTCGCATCAGTAAATTGGGAATCTTGACAGCTACCTGACATGGCATGTTTGTTCTTTTCTTCATGTAAGCCCCAGGAGGGCAGGGATTTTTGTGTATCTGTTCACTGCCGTTTAGTAGCTACTCAATGAATATTTCCGAATGAATGAGGATATTTATTCATTCCCTGTCACTATGCCCCATCACCGTGCTTTGTGTTGGATTAAATGGATCATTGATAGAAAGTGACCACCATCAGAGGGCTCAGTGGACAGGAGTTCTCTCTTAGCTCCCTAGACTGGGGGGTTCCTTAGGGTGAGGGCTCTGTTTTTGTTTTTTATTTATTTGTTATTTTTTTAAAGATTTTATTTATTTATTTGACAGAGAGATAGAGAGCACAAGCAGGCAGAGAGGCAGGCAGAGGGAGAGGGAGAAGCAGGCTCCCCGCCGAGCAGGGAGCCCGATGCGGGGCTCGATCCCAGGACCCCGGGATCATGACCTGAGCCGAAGGCAGCCGCTTAACCGACTGAGCCACCCAGGCGCCCCTGTTGTTTTTTTTTTTTTTTTAAGATTTTATTTATTTGACAGAGAGAGACACAGCCAGAGAGGGAACACCAGCAGGGGGAGTGGGAGAGGGAGAAGCAGGCTTCTCGCTGCAGGGAGCCCAATGCCTGACTCGATCCCAGGATCCTGGGACCATGACCTGAGCTGGAGGCCAACGCTTAACGACTGAGCCACCCAGGTGCCCAAGGGTGAGGGCTCTGTTAAGCGAGCTCTGGGTGCTCTGAACTGAGGGTGGGGCCAAGTACCACACCCATCAATCAGCACAGAGAGGGCCTGAGCAACTAGACTCGGGGGAGGGAGCAACGGAGCCTCTAGGTTTCCCCAGGAGAGAGGGGCAGGCTGGGGAGGTCTGGGGCTGAAGGTGGGAGGGGTTAAGAGGGTCTCTGCCTCCCAGTCTGCCACTTTCCTCCCTGTGTGACCTTGGACAAGTCACTGACTTCTTTGTCTTGGAGACCTCATCTGCAACATGCATATCATAACACCTCCCCCACATGGGTGTGGGAAGGAGCCAGTGAGAAGTGCCCAGCACAGGGCCCTGCTTGGTAATTGTTGGTTTCCTCCCAGTGCTGAGCTCGTTCTGGGAGGGGGCCAAGTCAAGTATCCCTCTTTTTTGCTCCTTTCACCTATTTTAACTTCCCACCCAGTTGGGACTACAGTCCAGGAGTCAGGAGCCCCAGACTCTCCAGCAGCCTGGCCAGGGCCCTGGCCGAAGGGCTGGGCTCTACCCAGTGTGGATGCAGCTCAGTAGAGGTCCCAGTCTTTTGCTGCAGGACTTGATTCAGTAGCCTACCTTCTCCGGGCCTCCATTGCCTCACCTCCAGCATAGGGTTACTAAAGGACACTTCCCTTGAAGAATTATTTAATGAGCAAATGGGTGGATCAGGCATTATAATCACTATTACTTTTGGGTCTGGCTGAGGAGGCTCCAGGGGAGGGCCCTGGAGAATCCCATCCCCTCTTGGCGTCAGGATCCGGGGAGTCTGTAGTCATCGTATGTATTATCGTCATCAGATGTTTCTCATATGCTGGGTGGGTTGTTACATGCTATTTCAGATGCATTATCTCATCTAGTCCTCCAGGCAATCCAGGCATTATGGTCCCCACTTTATGGGTGTGGGAACTGGTACTGAGTAAATCAAGTGAGTTACCCAGAGTCACATAGTTATTTCGGGGTAGACCTGGAGTTCAGACCCAAGTCTGCTCACCCCAAGGCCCTAATTCTTAGCGTAAAACTCTCTTACCTTCCCCTAGGGGGCAGAGACTGTGCCCGAGTCTGCTCTACCTTCAGTGCTCAGCAAAGGGCTGGTGAGGGCTACAGGACTGTTTCCTGAACACACACACACACACACACACACACACACACACACACACACACACACCCCATACCCCCACTCAGGCCGGTGCTCTAAGAGTCTCACAGAGAGGGTCAACAGGAGGCAGGAGAAGGCCTGATAGCATACTGGTGGAGAGGCAGACCTGGCTTAGAATTCCCTATCTATTGCTTACTAGTTGTGTGATCTTGGGCAAGACATTTAACCTCTTGGAGTCTTAGCTTCCTTATCTATAAAAGAGGAATAATAAAAGAACCTATGTACCTCCTAGAGTTCTTATGAGGATTAAATAATGCAATGAGGTACAAGGTGAGTACCCGATGATAGCGTTGATAGTAATTATTGTTATTATTATAGTTTTGAGTGTTATTTTAGGATTACAAAGATAGCCCTCTTGGGACAGTGGAGACTGGGTCTGGGAGGGGCCTGCTGGGGACAGGTAGGTAGCAAGCTAGTCTGACAGGTTCTGAAAGACACCAGTAGGGTTAAGGGATGGAGGAGGCCTCTTGGAAGTAAGCATGTACCTCCCTTTCCTAGCCATTTGCTTTCCCTCATACCCCTCCGTGCCAGGCCCTGTGCTGGGCATGGGGCACCGAGATGAATCTGTGAGGTCTCTGCCTCCCCAGCCTGCCCCAGCTCAGAGTCTAGCTTGGGGGAAGGACCCAGAACTACCACCTCCACCTCTGATCGATGCACTGAAATGTGAACTGTGACTATCTCCTCAGGCAAAGATCAGGAGAAAGGGCATTCCTAGTGGAAGGAACTGTTTTGCCAGGGTACAAACATGACCTGCACTTGGAATGCAGCTAGAGAGACAGGCTTAGGAGAGCTAGGGGGACTTGTCCCAGAGCCAGTGGGGGGCCATTAGATATGAAACAGGGGAACGACATGGTCAGGCTTATATTTTGGGAGGATTGCCTGATATGGACAACAAATGGGAGGGGAGAGGCAGGGGCAACTCCGCAGGTGAGGGGCGCTGAGATGCAGCCTGGGACCGAGCCATGAGATGGGGAGCAGTGGGTGCATGTGAGGTCTGTTTAGGACCCGAGCCAGCAGGATGTGATCATGGACTGCGGCGGGCAGGCAGGAGAGGCAAGAGGTGAGAGTGAGCTCTTAGGGTCTGTGGGGTGACGGGGCCTGCTGGAGTCTCTGGCTGAGGCACATGTCCAGGAGGAGGAGCCAGACCTGGATTGGGGGATGAAGCCGCTTGTCTGTTTTCGCCACCTTCTGCCCCAGCTCCCCCAGGCAGCAGTAATGTCTGAGCTGGACACTCGGGCAAGACCTCAGTCCATTGAGGCCCATGCCCCCGACTCCTGCCTTGGGGGTCACTTCTGGTGACCCTGGCTGGTCCGGCTGGGATGAGAGAGCTCTTTGGGGGTGGGGGCCAGGCAGGGGCCATGTGGTGCAGAGAAGGCCTGGCTTCTAGCTCAACCAGTGTCACTGAATGCGTGACTTCTGGAAGTCACTCCCTCTCTCTTGCCCTCAAGAAAACCTGTTTTGCCTGCCTCACAGATTCAGTGATAAAATGCAATGTCTAGAGACAACAAATATTTATTGAGCACTGACTTCGTGCTGGGTTCTGCGGGGGGTTCCTGCCATGAGCCCAGCTTCTGCGTGGGCCCAGCTGAGTAGGTGGTTAACTCTTTCTAGGCATCGGGTATCTGAGCTGGGATTTGAAGGGCACATAAGAGCTCTCTAGGCGGGCAGTGGAGGGAACAACTTTGTAAGCATGGGGAACAGCATGTGTGAAGGCTTAAATCCACATAATGTGCTCAGGGCACGTCCGTATGTAACGTCGTTTGGTGTGGCTGGAACAGAAAAGGGTGAGGTGATGCCGTGATGGGAGAGGAGGCGGGGCAGGAGAGCGGGGCCCAGATCATGCAGGGCTTTGGGACGGTCACTTTGGAGGTGATCATGCTCAGAACTGCCTGCTCTTCTGGGACTGCTAGGGCCCTTTCCACCCTACTCCCCCCATCTCCCCATCTCTCCCAACCCCAGTCAGTCCCAGTGGCTGCCTCCTCACTGGGGAGTCAACCACCTGGGCTCCCTGCCGGCTCTGCCGCTGATGAGCTGTGTTTCCGGCCCTTGTCACCTGCCCTGTCTGCACCACTTTTCACTTCAGTAAAATGGGGACAGCTGGCCCTCCTCATGGGGAGGGGCGGTCGCTTCAGTGAGATAGTCCTCGCCGGTGGCCTTGCACAGTGTCTCCATGTAATGGACAACCACAAAAAGGCGCTCCAGTTCAGTCCTCAGTATTTGGATTCCTCAATCTCTTTGGTCCCACCCGCTTGTTTCCCCTGCCTCTCCTGGCAGCCGCTCTGGCCAACAAAGG